TTTTATTGAACAATTATTTGTTTCATTGAAGAACGAAAACGGGAATGTTGAGTTCAATATTACTCATAGCCCCCCAACCCCACTCATTAAAAAATGAACAAAAATGCACACCCCATCCAAAAATCCCCACAAAGTCCCATTCAAAATGTTAAAATGAAAAAGAGCCCTTCTCCCTCCTAAAAGTCCTATTAAACATGAACATCTTCCTTCAAGCAATCCTCTGCATTTTTGCTAAACCCTTTCAGTCAATGGGCTCTTCCTGGGCCTCATCAACATCCAACTCTGAGTCTTCCTCTTCAGTGTCACTGTCCAGCCTTGTTGAGGATGGCTCTGTGTCAGGCTCAAAGACCCTTAGGTTTGCCCGAATTCCAACCAGTTTTTCCACTCTCACATTTGTGAGCCTGTTGCGAACCTTTGTGTGGTCTCAATAGCCATGCAGTAAGCAGTGTGCTATGGCATGGATATTCAAGTGTTCTTGAATGGCATCTGTTTGTTTTAGTCAAGATTATGCTCAAATATACTTTCCCCAACTATATTGAAGTTCCCTATGAAGAGCCAACCTTCGATTTTGAAAATTCCCAATTTATTCCCATAAATTCCCGTTAATTCCCGTGGAAAGTTTCCATCTTTGAAAATTCCAAGAATTCTGCAACCCTAGTCACCAGCCACAAGGATCTCACGCGGAAACACAGAGCCTAAATACCCACAGACTAATCAAACCAACAAGACACAGGTGAGGGGGGAGGAGACAACACAGGGCACCAGGTGCACACAATCAGCCGTAACAGACATTGGGGAATGGGAACACTTTTCAGAATAAAACCAGCAAACAGAGACAGACAAACCAAAACACACACAGATGCACAAACTACATACACTTCGCCACCAACGAAGCTACACGATCCGTAACGGGGGCCGAGATCTATGGCCATCACCTCCGTTACATATCCCTTTAAAGACTAGACATCAGTATTAATTATGGGGGATGGAAACCTGAGCCGGGGAATCGAGTGGGGAAAAAAATAAATCTATTTGCTTGTCTCAAAAGCCTGGAACATCTATAGTCTCCCCTTCATAATTATCTTCAAACATCCTTATTACGACCCATTTCCTGTGAGACCGACAACAAAACTATCACTGCCTTGATTGCATCTAGGCTTACTGTGGCCACAGAGTATGCCTAATATCCATCTGATTTTGATTGGACAAAACCAATTGGTTTGTAAGATGTTTGTGTTTTGACATGCCAGCTCTTTAAAGGAGGTAGATCATGCATAATAAAGCTTTTCTTCACACAGTATGTTTCGATTTAACACAGTCACACACGGAATAACTTACATGTAATTACTGCATAGCTTACAGCTACCAAGCACGTCTTATGTGAAGACGATTTATTCACATATCTATAATATACTCTATCTATATCTATAATGCGTATCTCATATAGCTGTAATATGATTATTGAATAAGTTGTTGGCATGTTATTTACATTTTGAAGTATAACCCTTCAATAGTTTTACATTTAATATATTTTTAAATAACGTTTTTCTACGTTTGTTATCTCATATGCCGGGGCCTACTGTAACCATAGGGAATATTGGATATAACTAAACGTTTTTTTACAAACGACTTATCAATGTGTGTTTATTGATGTATCTTAATGTATTTTCTTTTTGCATTTACAGTTATATGAGCCTTTTATTTTTCTGTTTTTGTAGGTCCATGAAAGGGATGGATCCGCTGAAAATTGGTCGGGACTATGAATGAAAACCTCAACATTTGAAATTCAAACAGTGAGTTGATCAATCCCGATTTTTCTCTTTAGCTGCAATCACTCTGCATCACTCTTCACTGTTATATAAAGCCGGTGGATTTCTTACAGAACAGTTTAAGAAGAGATAACCAACACAAAGAACCAAGGCTATCGATAATTGTGCTTGAATATCCCTTTCTCAGTCAGTGGAGTCAACTTAAATTCACTGCAGTGTTTAGGAGTGACATGAACAATTGTTGTTTTTTTTGCTTCAGCCTAATTTCCCATATACTTTAGAAAACAGCAGCAGCAGGAGTGATATGGGATTGTATTTTGTATATATATGTTGTCCTCTTCTGCTTTAGTTTGGTATTTTGGTGACTGGTTGAAAGTATAAACGTCTCAATTACTCCACACTCTTCAGAGGGATGCATTGATGTGTTTTGCCGTTACCAATTGTAACCAACCCCTAACAAACCCAGAGAAAATGCTGATACATTTCTCGGCACCCATCTTGTTTCCAAATGCACCCCTTGTGTACCTGCAGCTACACAACTACGAAGCCTTTGCATGGCTGTATTTCATGCTGTTTTTGACTTATTCCCAAGTGTTTCATAATTACAATGTAGGGAAACGCTTCCTTCGACCAACCCCTAATCTCATACTGCAATTTATTTTCTCATTTTTGTGCCAGAATGTGCCAATACCTTCGGTCCTTATTTAAAGGGTTTGTAAAATCACAAAATACTGTAAAAGCTTTTCTGACACACTCCACCAATTCAACAGACGTCTAGAGCATTGATTAACATTTTATTTTAGGAACAGTTTTGTATTCATCATTCATGAATCATTTGACATCCTCTTCAAATGGCCTTCAGAGAATACCCAGAATTGAGTATTTTCATCTCATGAATTGTGAATTGCTCTGTTGTGGTGGTTAACCTACAGAGGATAATAGACTGAAGTGATAGAAGTTTCTACAACTTCTAAAGTGAACAATGTACAAACACGCGCACACACAAACATCTATTCAAAACTATAAAACAGATACATAAGAAATACAAAAATGAAAGGGCACCCAAAATACTTAAATGCAATTTTCACAAAGTGTTTGCGAGGATTCTGATTGTCTTTTGTGCTACAATTTAAGAACGAGAAGAAAGACATGAAGAGGATCTGAAAAGGCAGGTGTAAAACAGAGAGATTAAACCCTGTCTTTCAGCAAAGCAATCCACGACCAATATAAAGCAGCACGCCTGCGGAGCAAGCATGTGTTTGTGCTCTTATCAGGCTGGAGTCATGCCATATCAACCACAGCCTTTGAAATATGAGATAACTTTACACGATAAAGAACATTTGAGGTTGAAAGAAACTGATTGATGCACACTGTGAGGCAAAGGGAGAGCCTTCACATTTGCATGACACATCCTGGAGATTAGGTTTAAGGCCTTCAACCACCTGTGATAATTCTGTGCTGACGATGCTGAAGATTGTTTTCTCTGGATGCGGACGCTGAAAGTAGATTGCTTTATGAATTATTTGGATTGGTATTTCAATTATACATTACAGAAAGTCTGCTAGACAAGTCTCCAGTGGAGTGTCTGTTTCGGATTTTCCTGTTTCTGAATTGTACATTTGTGACAGCAAAAGCGACGTAACTCGTAATATAATTACATTTACTGTAAGAGTACTAAATAATTATGATAGCTTTAGTTGTATTAGCAGTCTAATGCACAGGTATCAAATTCCTGTCACAATTCTGGTCACATTTGGTTTATTTGACAGTTTACTTGTCTCACAAGTATAATTATATAAAAAAACTACAGAAATATACATTTATTTTTTAAAGCAATCTCGGGAATGGAAACGTATGTGACATTTGAAATGTACACTTTTTTGTTGTTGTTATTATCATGCATATAATAAGCATTTTATGAAACAGTAAGTCAAAAACATGCTGCTGTTT